CTAAAGTGTGCACACACACACACATGGAAGCCTCTACAGACATGTGCTTCCGCATGGTTTTTCATAAGGCCTTTAATATCAGTTATCACTTTCCATATTTCCACCTCTACTTTTCTCTCCCATTCTCCCGTCTACCTCCTCATTTAATCTTCCTATTCTGCTTTCCCCTATATCTCTCAGGAACACTACATTCTATTTCCTCTTCCTTGGGACATACCATACTCTCTGCTGGTCACTTACTGTGTACTTAACCTCTGTGGTTGTTTGTATTGTAGCACATATGCTAAAAGCTTAAAAGCCAAATAAGAGAAAACATACAATATTTATCATTTGGGGTCTGGGTTACCTCACTCAGGTTGATTATTTTTCTAGCTCATCCATTTACTTATGAATTTCATATTTTAAACAGTGGATCGATATTTCATTGTATAAATGTAGCACATTTTTATTATTCACTCGCCTGTAGATGGACTGGATATTCATCTTTCTTAAAATATAGGCTGCCCCCTAAAATGGGACCTGGCCTTTAGCTTCTTTGTGGAATAAATTTCTATGAAAAAAAAACTTCAGAAGGAAAACATATGAGGCTATATAAGCTTTCCTGCGCCAATAAATTGCCTCTAAGATTAACAGAAATACGTTTAAATGGGTGTATAAAAGCTTCCAGCTACTTTTGAGACAGCCAGTGATGAAACAGATTCAGGTCTAGGGGAAACCTACACTATGAGAAACAAAGAAACGTCCGTTTTTAAAGCAACTTTATATTAATTTTTGAGAGTAGTGATCCTAGTTGTTTAGCAGCTGAGAAGCTACTTTGAAGCTATTCTACCTAAGAAAGAACAGCTTCATCAATGTAGCACATTTCAAGTGAGAGAAATATGGACCTAGAGGGAGGTAGACCGAGGGGCCAATGGGTCAGCAGTCCCAACTCAACACTATGTGAGCCGCCGGGTTGCTCTAGCGTTTGTCTACTCTGGGTGTTGTATCAAATGGGAGCTGGCCATTTAGAAAGTTGCTAAACATAGAATGTTTATTTTTTTTTCTTTATTAATTACACTTTATTCACTTTGTATCCCCCCTGTGGTTCCCTCCCTCCTCCTGTCCCAATCCCTCCCTTCCTCCACCCTCTGCATGCATGCCCCTCCCCAAGTCCACTGATAGGGGAGGACTTATTTTCCTTCCTTCTGATCCTAGTCAATTAGGTCTCATCAGGAGTGGCTGCGTTGTCTTCTTCTGTGGCCTGGTAATGCTGCTTCCCCCTCAGGGGGAGGTAATTAAAGAGCAGGCCAATCAGTTCATGTCAGGGACAGTCCCTGTTCCTATTACTATGTAACCCACTTGGACACTGAACTGCCATGGGCTACATCTGTGCAGGGGTCTTAGGTTATTTCCATGTGAAACAGTAAGATCTGGAGAGGACAGGAACTCCACAAGGAGAGCAACAGAACCAAAAAATCTGAGCACAGGGGTCCTTCCTGAGACTGATACTCCAACCAAGGGCTAACCATTTCTTTAAACAAAGAAACAAAACAAAACAAACCCTCTTATGGTCTTTTCTATGGTCTTGTTTTTCCCCCTTTAAATTTTTCTTTTGTCTCAATATGTTCACTTTTTTACATCGGTCCCACTCCACAAATCTATGCTTTCCTGAACTTTATCGAGTTCCTAGCGGATGTTCTCTTGGCAAGTTTTCCTGTTTCTGGCAGTGAGCGTCTTCTCTGCCTTCTGTGTGCTATCAACAAAGCTTCATTTTTGACTCTTGTTGTTTATCATTAAATCCAAAGAGGTGAATGTGAGATGGATGATTTTTTTTTTTTTTTCAAACCTGCGGGTCCTGCCAGGTTCCCCATGATCTCTGCCAGGACGCATCTTCAGCCTAGCTCAGATCCTAGAAAACTAGGGAAGATGTAAATATTTGGACCCTTTCGAGTTCTAGAATTTCGTTGTGTGTGAATTCTTCTCTGGATGCGTGAAGTTCAATAACTTGGTCCCCTGCACAGCTGACTTTCTGCGGACACTGGGGCGAAGCTTGGGGCTTCCCACGCGTGTGCCTGCTGGGACGATTCTGAGTGGTGCTTTTACTCTCAGATGAAGCGTGCCTTCAGCTGGGGCCTGCTTCCCAAGGAAGGTCAACCGGAGGCTCCTGACTGCTTGCGTCTCTGGATACTGTGCTTTCCTGGAAGCAAGAGTGGTTAAAAAGACGGGAATGAGCCACAGTCTCTCTGACACACTTCGCTATTTCAGTTGTCCTCTGGTTATTTACCCCACAAAAGGGCTGCACAGGTGGTGTTTTTAATAGTAATGGGAGCTTGTTTCCCATTGCTCACTTTCCTCTTCCGTTGTCCCTGTGTTTGGAGCATCTGTCTCATTGGTCACTTCTATAAAAGTCATCTGCTTAGTAAAGTTTGTAGATAAATCCAGGCTCCGCATCCACGAGCCGTTTAACTGAAGACCACTAGCATACTGTGCTTGCAAAGCACTTTGCAGAGCGTGCCTTACATACAGCTGATTGTTTCTCTTTTATGGAAAGTATATGAAATTAGCACACTTTGCATTTGTCCACACATATACACTGCGATCTTTCTAAACAAGCATATGGGTGTCTTTAATCACACCACATTGTCCTCAAAAAAGTTGGTGCCACTGTTAAATTGCTTTCTGGTGTGTGATAAGGTAGAAGCCTAGGGTCAGCTTGAATATTTGCTACTTTTTAATATTATTTTTCTCTTTTAATTTTTTATTTTATTGTACGTGCATTGGTGTTTTGCCTGCATGTGTGTGTGTGAGGGTGTTGGATCCCCTGGAAGAGGAAACAGTTGTGAGCTCTATGTGGGTGCTGGGAATTGAACCTAGCTCCTCTGGAAGAGCAACCAGTGCTTTTAACCACTGAGACATTTCTTCAGCCCTGAAATTTTGCTGCTTTTAAAGTGCTATGTTTTCTTTTTTTAAACCTGTCCAAGTTTTGTTTTGTTCTTATTCTTTGGAATAAAAAAGTATAATGGTGTATGTTGAGGTTTTTTTTTTTTTCATTTTTTTTGGGGGGGTGGTTTTACTTGATCTGTTCTTACTTGCTTATTTGTGTTTTCTTTAGCCTACAACATTTTTATTTTCATTAAAGCTGCTTCTGTTTAATCCCCTGGAAACTGTTGCTAGAAGGTGCTACTTTCTGGTTTTATTTTATTAGTCACAGTTCCCCTCATTTTTTTCTATTTTTATTCTTTGCTCTGAGGTTTCAAGGATTAAGATGGGTCCTAACAAAACATTCATGCTAAATTCCTGGTAGAATCTTTAATCTCCAAAACAAGGTAGAATGTTTTTAAAGTTTGAATTTTTTCTCAGTTTACTGTTCCAGCTAAGAGCCGGAACAGTTTTTCCATGTCTGAGATACTGAGAGAGAATCCGCATTGGAAGCAGGCTTAGCTGGGAATGTATTTTGCTAAAGAGTATCTGATCTTAGTCAAAAGTAGCTGGGCTCCTTGATGAAATCTCTCCATCCCTTGGCAGACAGGCTGTCCACTGGATATGAATGAGAGCACCTTCCATGCCAACATCTTGTCTTGTGCTGACTGTCTAGTATCCTTCCTAATGCTGCTCACAAGTGTAGCTCACAAGGATGATGGTCACCTTCAGACCTGCAGAGATCTCTCTGTCTGTTGGACACTGCCAGCACAGTAGAGATGACCCTCAACTACTGAAATTCTTGGGATACTTAATACTTGGATAACCAGTTCTTTTGCCCATTTTTCAAGCTTGATTTAGGGATTATTTTTTTCTCAAAAAATTGAGTCATTTTCATAAACGTCATGTGAAGGATAGTGTACAGCCCGCCAAGTACTGGGGTGTTAGGGTAGCCAAGTGTCCTAAGTCTCCAGATTCAAGGGCAAGCCTCATCACCTATCCTCTCTTGCTAATGCAAGCTTGTGGATACTTTGAAATCAGGAGAGGGAGATTGCATAAACCTACATATAATGGAGATGTGACACAATTCTTAAGTGTCCTGCCGAGAATTTTCCTGTCTAGTTACCTGTGAGGGTCAGGACCTTTGACTAACAATAATGAAAGTAATTATATCAATAGCATCTTACAGAACTACCAAGAATTTCAGAGTCTATCTATTATCACTGACATTTGATCTTTAGGTCAACTTCCAAACTGTGTTGCATGTTGCATGGTGCTCTATTTTATAATCCTCAGAGAAGTTATCTAGCTTAGTTGATGTGCATAGTGGATACTTTGCAAGGCAAAACTCAAACCCGCAGTTGACTTCCAGTTCTGTTGTTTTGTTTTGTTTTGTTATTTTTCTAATACCATTGTCTGTCAAACAACCTTAATAGGTGTTTGTCCTCCACAGCCCCAATTATTGCACTTTGATCACCTGCAGGCCTGTTGTTAACTTTAAACGCAGTATCCTTCTCTGTTCCAGTGATTTCTGTGTAGGGAGAATGTGCTTCTCTTCTCTTGAATGATCTGGAAGCTTCAGTTTACTCCCCTCCTCATCCTCATTTTTGATGACTGCATTATTGCTCTTCTTCTTAGAGGCATTCTTCCTGTCTTCTAACTTAATTTGCTTGCATCTAAGTTTTTCATAGCCTTCTGTGACTATAGTGGAACTCCATACCTTCCCATAAGTCTTGAAACATCTGTAGGGTGTGGGGTATGGCTCTCTGTATCCCCTGATGAACAAAGTGCCTTCAACAGAGAATCTTGTCTGGTGGTGTTTGCTGCTGATCAGTCTTTCCTATATCCAATTAGGGACTAAAAGGTACATATCTGAGAAGAAGAAAATTGTCAGTAATTTAGAACCTCCAGAACAATGAATAAGTACTGCAAAATGTTGGGTGTGGTCAGGGCCTGTTTAGAGAACATTTGTGTTCTTGTTTTGTTATTTCATAAATTGCTACTTTAGCACTGTAACTATACTGGAGTAAACAGTAATGTTCAAAACTGTAAAGCATCTGTCATCATAGTTTATTCTAATGAAGTCCTCTTGTCCCCTGTAGGTTACGGTCTTTGGTCAAGCAGTTAGAGCGAGGGGAGGCCTCTGTGGTAGATCTCAAGAAGAATCTGGAATATGCAGCCACAGTGCTTGAATCTGTATATATCGATGAAACAAGGTAAGTTAGAAAAGAGATTAAGAAAATAATGCTAGATTTTCTGCCAAACAGTCCTATCCCTGTGTCCCATCCAGTCGCCCTCCCCTACCCTTGTGGCAGATCTGGGGTGTGGTTCAGATCACTGACTCTGAAATGTTAGTTTATACAAACAAATGGGAAAGAACTTGAACTGTTACTCCCTCAGCTATTAAAGGTCCAACAGAACTTACAACATAGACAATAAAATGGTGTAACAGCAGAAAATGCAATTCTTTTCTTTAATACATATATTTATATATTCATTTCACATCCTCATCACAGCCCCCTCTCTCATCTCCTCCCAGTCTCACCCTCCCACCCTTTTCCCCCTTCTCCTCAGAAAATGGAAACCCCCACCTTACAAACCTACCCCGGCCTATTCAAGTCACATTAGTATTTAGTACATTCTCTTCTATTGAGACCAGGCAAGGCAGCCCATGCTAGGGGAAAGTGATTCAAAAGCAGGCAACCAAGCCCATGTCAGAAGTGACCTAAACTCCACTTGTATATGCTATGGGGCCCATATGAGGACCAAGATTCCCATCAGTTACATATATGTCATGGGCATAGGTCCAGTGTATGCATGCTCTTTGGTTGGTGCTTCAGTCTCTGTAAACCCCTATGGATCTAGGTTACTTAACAAGGTTGGCCTTCTTGAGGAGCTCTTATTCCCTCTGGGACCTTCTATCCTTCCCTACACACCTCCACAAGACTCCCCTAGGTCTGTCTAATGTTTAGCCGTGGGTCCCAGTATCTGCTTCGTTCTGATGCTAGGTGGAGGCTCTAAGAGGACAGTAGCACTAGGTTCCTGTCTACAAGCATAGCATAGTATCATTAATAGTGTCAGGGGTTGGCTTTCTCCTAAGGGCTGGGTCTCAGAGTGGGCCAGTCATTGGTTGGCCATTCCTGCTTTCTCTGGTCCATGTTTATCCCTGCACCTCCTGGAGGCAAGGTAGATTTGGGTCAAAGGATTTGTGGGTGGGTTGCTGTCCCTCCCTCCACTGGAAGTCCCACCAGATTAGGAAGTGGCTGAGGTGGCCCCTTCAGTCTCCATGTCCTCTGCATCTAGGAGTCTCAGCTAGGAAAGCCTAGATGTAGAGTCCCATATGATGTCTATGTACTCATCATGTCAGTCTAAAATGTGTGTTTGAATCCATCATCTCTGTCAGCAACTGGAGGTTCCTGAAGTGATCAAGTTCCTAGTATTTCTCACAGCAAACATTGCCACTTGAATTATACAAGTACTATAGCAATTGTAGGCACTGAAATTTTTGAAAGAAATAGAAACACTTTCCTTTTGGAAGCTGTTGAATGTCAACTGTGAAAAATCTCCAGTCAAACAAGGCTCCTCAGAATCAGTGATGTCTTGCTTCACCGAACTCAATCTGAAAGGATTTCACTACAGTCTATGAGTTGTTGAAATCATTTAATGATGCAATTCATTACTAATTTCAGGAATTTGATGCCACAATCTTTTCCCCTTTCCCCAAAATGTATACATCTAAACAAACAGCAACCACACACACACACAAAACAAAAAAACAAAACAAAACAAAACAAAACAAAAAAACAGCTTTATATTGGTGTCCAACTTTAACTGCTTATTTTGAGTAGGGCTTAAGTAGATGACATTCACTGCGGGGGGGGGGCTCTATTATAACTGTATTTTTTCCTTTCTAGTATGTGATGTCTGAACAAGTCAGGCAGAGCACTACATTCACAGATAGCCTAGGTCATGGGGATCAAGTGAAGAACTGCACTGTTTGGGAAAGTTTCTTTGAACGTAGAAGTTCGTGTTTCTAGTATATCCAGTCGAATTAAAAGGGAATCAGTTGGTATCATCTAAAATAATTGCTTTAAAGTACATAGGTGCTGTGATTTGTACAGTATTTTTATCTTTACGCATTTCTCTCAACACTAACATTGATTGGCTTTTAGCTTTTTGCACTTTTTTACACTTGTGTCTTTGAAGGATAGGCTAGATCCAGTTCAGTCAAAGGAGACATACCAGTGTAAGATTTCACAGGCCTTGCCAAAACACTGCTACCTCTCTCTTTCTTTCTTTCCTTCTTTCTGTGTGTCCATTACTACCTGTGTATGTGTATCCCATTTTTAAAATATTTTAAAATTTTTATATTAATTATTATTATTTATTAGAATTTATTCACATTGTATCCCAGCTGTGGTCCCCATCCCACCCTCCCTCCCTCTTCTCCTCCTATGCCCCGCCCCTAGTCCACTAATACTGGAGGTCCTCCTCCCCTTCTATCTGACCCTAGCCTATCAGGTCTCATAAGGACTGGCTGCATTGTCTTCCTCTGTGGCCTGGCAAGGTTGCTACCCCATCAGGGGGAGGTGATCAAAGAGCCAGCCACTGAGTTCATGCCAGAGACAGCCCCTGCTCCCCTTGCTAGGGAGCCCACTGGGAGAGCAAGTCTATGGGCTATAGCTGAGCCGGGGTTGTAGGTACTCTCTGCATATTCCTTGGCTGGAGTATCAGTTTCTGCAGGGCCCTTAGGGCCCAGGTTTTTTTTTTTTTTTTTTTTTTTTTTTTGTTTTGTTTTATTTTTGGTGGTGGTGGTGGTGGTTTTTTTTTTGTTTGTTTGTTTGTTTGGCTCTGTTGGTCTCCTTTTGAAGCTCCTGTCCCCTCCAGGTCTTTCTATCTCCCTCTTCTTTCATAAAATTCCATTCATTCTGCCCAAAGTTTGGCTGAGTCTCAGACTCTGCTTTGATACCTTGATCAATGGAGTCTTTCAGAGAGTCTCTGTGGAAGGCTCCTGTCCTGTTCCCTGTCTTCTCCTGCTTCTTATGTCTATCATGTTTGCCCTTTTGAATGAGGATTGAGCATCTTCCCTAGGGTCCTCCTTGTTGTTTAGCTTCTTTAGGAGTATAGATTTTAGTATGTTTATCCTATATTATATGTCTGATAACCCCTTATGAGTGAGTATATACCATGTGTGTCTTTCTGCTTTGGGCTTACCTCACTCAAGATGATCTTTTCTATTTGCCTGCAAATTTCATGATTTTCTTGTTTTTAATAGCTGAGTAGTATGCTGTTGTGTAAATGTGTAAACTACAATTTCTGTATCACTTCCTCCATTGAGGGACATCTAGGTTGTTTCCAGATTATGGCTATTATGAATAGAGCTGCTACAAACATGGTTGAGCAAATGTCCCTGCAATATAGCTGGACATATTTCAGATATATGCTTAGGAGAGGTGTAGCTGGATCTTGAGGTATGTCCCGTTTTACATCATTTTTTTGTACCTGAGTTTCAGGTGGGTAGAGAAAGGTAGCTGTTTCCAACAGAGAATTCTGGACTGAGATTCAGTCTCCATACCTGGGTTGTGTGTTTTGTTTCCAGGCGACTCCTGGACACAGAGGATGAGCTTAGTGACATTCAGTCAGATGCTGTGCCTTCCGAGGTCCGAGACTGGCTGGCCTCCACCTTCACACGGCAGATGGGGTTGATGCTCAGGAGAAGCGATGAGAAGCCCAGGTTCAAGAGCATCGTCCATGCCGTGCAAGCTGGAATATTTGTGGAGAGGTAAAGGTGAAACTCATTGTTATGCAAGGGCTAAAACAACAAGAAGAATACCAGGTCCTGTGACTGCAAGCCTTTCTTTTATGTAATTTTGATACGTTATCATAAAAACTCAAAATTCTGAGTAGAAACAGGTATTTTAATCTCCATGACATCACTAGGACAAGTTTTCCTCTTTTCTCAAAATTCACATTTTAAGAAGCTCTAGATTAAGTTCAATCTCATTTTTAAAGTCAGAAATTATCTGATCCATGTTTTTCAAATACATGGATACCATCTGAACAGACCAGCAGTGTTTTGAGGTCGCTGAACCAGGGAGAACAGTTTGTTTAAGGGCTCTGAGTTCTCTGTGATATAGTTTATCAGCCTTTTGTTACTGAATTGTTCCCTACAAGAAATAGACCCATTGATTCTTCTATTCCCTATTACCCGGTGACACATTTTAGAAATCTCATGGTAGTGATTTCAAAGGTGACCTGGGACATTTACTAGCTGCCTTTAGAGGTTCTAGAAAGAAGTATTTCTGTTGTATCTTCCACACCGATCATTTGCCCATCATCAAATACAATACTGTACCCTATCCCTGCCATCCCTCAACCAGTGCTGCCAGAGCACATTATCATTTCAGTATTGTTGTGCCCAATAAGAGGCACATAATCTTAATTTAATTTTGTTTCCAGTAGCTTGTATGTCTGAGGTTGCCTTAATTTCTTTTGAATTCATCATCAGAGGTACTTGAGTAACTTTGGGGTCTAAAGTTCTTCGGGTCATCAGATACCCTGAGTGTTTGTTGCTTATCATTACGTGTGCAGATCTCTGAAGTGCTAACTGTCCTTGTAAACTGTCACATTTTGCTTTCTCTTCCAACTTTGCCAGAATGTACAGACGAACCTCAAACATGGTTGGGTTGAGCTATCCACCAGCTGTTATTGATGCATTAAAGGTAAGACTGAGGAGAAGGCATCTAGGGTAAATAGAAACAAACATAGATTACAGTTAAATTTGTCCTTAGAAACAAACAGAGCTTCATTTCTGTACTTTTCTGTTATTCCTACCTTTCATTATTATTTTCTTATCAGTTCTAATAGTAGTTCTGTGCTCTCAGTTTTTAACCTCCCATTTTTTTTGTTTGTTTTAAATTAAACTCTGTGTAAATTTTGGTTTTACACAGTGATGTGCAATGATGAGATTCATAAAGCAGTAGCCACAGGAGATCTGGTACATTACAGGAAAAGTATTTAAACATAGGAAGAAACTTTTTGATTGTAATTATATCAATACTGCTCACTCCAAGCCCATTAAAAAACCACCCAGAAATTTTTAAGAAAAATAAAATCAGAGTGTATCAAGGATTAGAGTTGAGGCCTGAGCACAGTATTCCCAGCACTTGGTGTGTTCTCAGTGACATTTCATGACATGATCGTCTGCTGCAGAGCCCTTGTCCTCTTCAGATATCCTGCTGTTTTTCCAAACTTTCACAGAGCCAAGGTTCCATAAGAAGTCATTTAAATATGGTTTTGAATTAAGCAGGAGGAAACTTGCATGATAACCCTCACCAGCCATCCTGAAAATGATGACTTTTCTAGGCCCCACAGAGACATGTTCCTTTAGGAAGGATGGAGTCAGATTCAGGGGTCTGAAGTGTTCCTTCTGAAGTGTTCCTTGTGCATTTTTGTTCTAGGGTGGGGTTGCTAGGGCTCAGCGTCTTAGGCTGGTTAGTATTTCATGCTGTCTGCACTTAGCACCCGTCCCTTTGTGCAGCGACATTGTGGAATTCTGACTTCTAGTATTGTCTTTCTCTGAAACATGCACCAAGTATAATCTGATGATGTTTTCAGAAGATACATTACCCATTCATGGAAGTAGGTGTGGTGAGTGCTTTATAAATAGCTTCATGTAAGAAACAGTCCCCACAGGAGCCATTCTGAGTATATAGTCATGCTTTTTTCCTCTTGTTCAGAGACATTCTCTGACTGTGTTTATAGGATTCACGTTTCTGTTTTTACTGTCTACATTTTTTTCTTTCCTCCACTTATCTTAAGAGAAGGAAGGATACTGTGAGGAGCCAGGAGCCCCTCCTCCTCCCCCTGCCCTCACACATGCACCTATCATCGTAGTTTGCAGTGATGTTTCCCAGCTCGGCAGCAGAACTACTTCATGAGACCTGTTTCTTAGTACTCACAATGAAATTGCATTGATTTTTATAATTGAACTGAAACACTCAATGTAAACTTAGGAGGATTAGAGGACTATTTAAAGCTTTATTTCTGCCTCTGTCATAAACACAGATGAGGTCACTCACTGATAGTATGCATAGCAGGCTGTTAATGAGAGTATTTTTCCCTAATTTGAGTCTCTTTTCTTTGAATAACTAAAGACCGAAAAGTGGAGCAACCTGTTACATAGGCAAATTATTATTTGACACTTAAGGAAAAGGAACTCTCAGAAGTACACATGGTCTTTCTAAGAGAAAGACACTTGGACTAGTCAGAGCAGGGATTACTTAGCTCCAAATGGTGGTCCTTCATGTGTCAGCTGATGTGTGCTTTAAGACCAAAGATTTTGCCCTTGACACCATTCCTGTTGATCAAGAAAGTTCAAGTCCTTCCTACAATGAACAAAGCTCTCCATACTTGCCTTTTATTGCTAGAAGACTGAAGTGGGTTGGGGAGCACAGAGATGGAGTCTCCTTTCCTTTCTTGTACCTGTTGAGAAAAAGGTTATTTGCACTGAGCTGCTGAAGTTTATATGGAAATCAGTACTGATTGCTTCTAGTTCGAAAAAAATTCTCAAAGACTGAGAAATCTCAGTTCACTAAAATAACCGTTGTGTCATGTCATGTTAACTGATGCAGTTACTTTAAGCACATGGCATAAAACAACATCAAAGTAAGCAAATAATTAACAACTACTTGTTCTAGAATTCAATTAGGCTGCATGTCACTCTCGGTACTTTCTCAACCTGAAACATCTTACCTTGTAATTTCAGTTTATTTCTAGCCTTTGGGATGGAGGTGTAGAAGTGACCCATTCTTTAGAAGAACAGTTGTCCGGCGACCCAGGATGTAGCCTCTTGGATCAGTTTGAAACTGGAAGAAGCAAGCAGTTTCCCGCTTCCTTTAGGCCGTGCTAACTGAGATGCTCTCCACCTTTCCAGACTAGAATTGTCCCTGGGCAAAATTTGGTAAAAGAGAACATGTTTAAGGCACTTAACTTGAGTGCTCATTAAAATGCAATTTCCAGGCTCAGGATCCTTCAGAGGCCTATAGCATTCTCAATTAGTATTTTCAGCTAGTCCATAAGTGGCTTGGAAGAAGAATAAAATTCAAGAGTAACAGTTAAGATTTCCTTGAAATGAAGGCCCAGAGAGAACACCCACTCTCCTTCCCATTTCCTAGAGCTGTCAGTGTCCTTTTCCTCAAGTCTGGATCAGACAATGGCTGTGACTCACAGCAAACCAATTATAAAACTTATGCAAAGCTCCAGGCTGTGGGTAAAGTTTGGTATCTATGTCCTGGGTCCTCACTGGGTACTTAGGAGATGTACCCTAAGAATCACAGGCTGGATTCATTGGGTTTACAAGTGTCATCTGTAGGCAGTAAGGTCACAGAAGAGGTTGCCAGTGAGACTATTAAGTAGTTCCTCTATCATGTGACACTGGACCCTTTGTCTCTCCCAAACTGTCTTGTGTAACACTGGGGAAGGTATAATTTTGCCAGGGTTGGGAGCTTTGAGCTTTGTGTGTTAACACTTCATATCACAGCTTTAATTATTTTAATTGAAGGGTAATCGAATTATTTAATTATTATTCAATAATTATTTATCAAATAATTATTTAATAATTATTCAATTATTTAATTGAAGGGAAGTGAGTTGACCACTAAATATGAATAGAAACAATCCATCTGAAATCTTTTGGCATTAAAAAAAACCCTTTATATCATTGCTTTTATATTGTTTGGTTTTCATGAGAGAATCCTCAGTTGTCTAGAGCTGAATATGATGGCTGGAATAGTTAGTGTGACAGGAGCACAGGGATGGGATTGCAGGGTCATTGTAGGATACACTGAGCCTTCCATATAGATAGTCTCTGACACCTGAGGTACCATCCAACTCCAGGCCTTCATTCAATCTTTGTGATCTCTCATGGGTCTCATCAAGAGAAAGTCAATATGCATCTTGTAACTATAGAAGGAATACCCAGGATGTTTTGGAAACACCCTGTTGATTTAACTATGATTTAAACACACATTTGTTTATTATGTCCACAAGTGGCTGGTGTTGCTGTGCCCAAAAGCACACAAGGTAATGATTACATTTATTCTGGAACCAGTATTTATTAACAAATAGGAACTTTATGAAGGCATATGAGGTATGTGTCCAGTTCAGTTTTTACATTTACCTTTTTCACCAAAGTGTTATACTAATTGGAGAAATGTATCACCAGATTTGTGGCCCCAGAGAACTTTTTTTTTTCTGTTCACGAAATGAATATTTTCTGTTTCAGCTTACCCATTAAAATTTAAGTGGCATTCAGTTTTTGTATCATGCATGCTTCTGAACTTTCAAATGAGTTAATGGTGCCAACTCTGGGCCCAGGGGATATCATTACATAATATATTAGTGGATTGGGGAGTATTTAGATGAGAGATGTACCCCAGCTGGTTTGAACTTGGGGTGGTAGCTGATGAGCTTAAAGGAAGGAACCTAAGAGGAGGCATCAGTGTGGAAAGCATATGTGTCCCCATCTCACTTGTGTCTCAGGCTGGTGCTTCCAACAGGGCTTTGAGGAATTAGGTAACTATCCATTTTCTTCTCTGTAAAATGTAACAAGTAATGCCACCTAAGAATTGTCTGATTCCAGTCAGAATGCCTGTCAATATTTCTGCTAGATCATAAAGGTCTTTGATGTTTTAATAGTAAATGTTCTTGTGCTACCACACGAGAAAGCAGTTGAGAGTGCTTTACAGTCTTGAACTATTTCATTGCAGGTGTGGGCTACAGGAAGTCTCAAACATACCAGTTCTATAGGTGGTGTGAATTAATATGCTTTCTCCCTACTCTCTCCTGCAGGATGTGGACAACTGGTCCTTCGATGTCTTTTCCCTGAATGAAGCTAGTGGAGATCATGCATTGAAATTCATTTTCTATGAATTACTCACGCGCTATGACCTGATCAGCCGTTTTAAGGTCAGCACCTCATTAAAAAGAGAAAATGAACACATTTGTCCATCCTTATGTAACTTCTGTGTCAAGACCAAGGGAATCCTCTTCAATAGATAGGAAACTGCTGTGGGCAACTGTTATTATTATTCCAATGGAGCTGTAGTTTCTTCCCTGTGTAGGTCACTTTTCTTTACAATCTGCCTGGTGTATCTTGCTGGGAGGCAGGGACTGGAAAAGTGTGGAGACCTATCTTCTCAGAAGCAGTGCCTGCCATAGCTGAGTTCCCCTCAGCTGCTGCCTACCAATCTCATTTAATCACAAATATGTGCACCGCTGACCACTCTTGGCAGAGAGGTAGCAGTAGAGACAGAAAGCTCAGCAGCTTTCATAAACTTCCCCCACCCACACCTCATTCACACAAAACTCCCACTTATCATCCATGACAGATCATTTGTGTTTCCCAGCCACCCATACTTCACATTAATTCTTTGCTTTAAATAAGGAGAATAAATCAACTCCAGGGTCAGCCCCCAAGCCAACATACTGCATGGCCTCTTCAGGTCAGGCTAGGTCCTCAAGGGAGCCTCTATCCAGTTGATCTCCTCATACTTCATGCATCAGATGGATGTGTCTCTGGAAGATGCAGGTTGTTTAAAGCACAAATGTTGATCTCTGGACACAGGAAGTCTATCTTAAGGACTATATTGAAGCACATGCTTTCTACATGACCATAGATAACTTATGACAGTATCTTTTGTTCTTCATTATGCCTGTGCCAGAAGCCTTCAAGAGAAATATAGGTGCCAGAGACACTTTTCTTGGAACAAAGGCTGTATGTCCATCTTTACTTAGCTTCTCACTGGCGCATAGATTGCCAGAGCAGCCCAAGATCCCATAGATAAGCTCACGATAATGAACTTTTCTCTGCCCTCTTTTTTTTTCTTTCTTTTTAAATTTATTTTTTTATTATTAGTTACATTTCATTAACTCTGTATCCCAGCTGTATCCCGCTTCCTTATTCCCTCCCAATCCCACCCTCCGTCCCTCATCTCCTCCCTGCCTCTTTCCAAGTCCACTGATTGAGGAGGACCTCTTCCCCTTTCATCTGACCCTGTTTTATCGGGTATCTTCAGGACTGGCTGCAAAGTCCTCCTCTGTGGCCTAGCAGGACTGCTCCTCCCTTGGGGGGTGGGGAGGTCAAAGAGCCTGCCATTGAGTTCCTGTCAGAAATAGTCCCTGTTCCCCTTTCTATGGGAAACCAATTGGTTACTGAGCTACCACGGGCTACATCCGAGCAAAGGCAGAGGTTCTAGGTTATATCCATACATGGTCCTTGGTGGAGGGTCAGTCTCAGAAAAGACCCTGTGCCCAGATATATTTGGTCCTTGTGGAGCTCCTATCCTTTCCACGTCATACTGCCGAAGGTTTGGTTATGAGTCTTAGTATCTGCTTTGAAACACTGCTAGGTAGAGTCTTTCAGATGCCTTCTGGGGTAGACTCCTGTCATACATTCAATGCACATCCCATTTGTCTTTCTAAGTGAGGATTGATTATCTTACCCCCGTGTCTGCTTTCTTGTTTATCTTCTTTAGGTGTATAGATTTCATTATGTTTATCATATCTTGTAGGTCTATATAAGCATTTCTCTTCTCTTAAAGACATTTACTTACTCAATTACTTTGGTTTCCTAAGAAAGGATTTTGCAAAGTAACCCTGGCTGACCTTGAACTTTCGGTGATAGTCCTTTCTCTTGCCTCCTGAATTCTACAGCTAAAGGACATAGTTACATTTTAAAAATTCCACTAATAAATAAAATGTAAGAGATTTATTTGGTTATTATAGTTGAATTTCCTTGGTTTTTCTTTTGAATCATTTCAGTCTCTAGGAACACACAGCCTTTCCTTCATCTCCAGCCTTGGAATAGGGATTTTACCACAAATCATAACTATAATCTCTCAACTAGCATAATAAATGTTTGGAGGGTCCTCTTACATGTATGTGATACTTGCAGTTCTTCACTCTGTCATATGGGAAAACAAAGCGTGCATATTACACATGTTTAAACTGGAAACACAATTAAGGCAGTTGAAAATACTGTCCCAGTGGACTGGTGGTTCTGAGGAAGTATGCACATCTTTTTGTCTCAAGAGAAATGAACTCATAAAGAACCCATAATAGCATACTTAATTCACTTGTGAGAAAGTGTAAAGGACATAAAGAAGTTAAGCTATATAATGACTGGAAACACATGCAAGCTGCCAGTGGTGTGACTCCTTGAAGCCATGCTCTTCCCAAGGGGTCATTGCATGCATTGGAAATATGGGGAAAACACAATGTAGTAGTCCATGTGTATGGAAGGGGAACAGGCTATTTTTAAAAATCAGCCAATGATATATTTATTATTGGTGACTTGCAGTTCAGAATGCCTTCTTTTGCTGGTGAAGATGGTTGCTATTTGTAAGCTCCTCAACATGGTTTATTACATTGTTTGGGATCCTGCACAGCATCTGTCCCTTCTTGGGACTGGAAAAAGGGTCAAAAACGTACATGACAGAGAAATACAGAACTTTAGTAGTCACCAATAATAGGATTGCCTGTGGGCACATGAAAAACTACTGATTTACATTTTAAACAAAATGTCTTTGAGATGAATCTGTATAGTTCTTTCTGTGCCTAAAACTGAGGAACAAAGAACAGTTTGTAAGACTGACTATTCTTCAACCTGGGACCTGGTGTTAAACCTTTAGAGTATCTGACAGTTTCACCAGAGTATCTTATTCACTGTGAAACACTGTAGCTTCCTTGGGTGATCCCCAACAACCCTCAGAATGAGCAAGGTAGGGACTTTAGTGTTTTTCCTAAGGTCATTCTGTCCCTAGTGAGCAGACTGTTACTGTTCTCTTTCAGATCCCCATTTCTGCACTTGTCTCATTTGTGGAAGCCCTGGAGGTGGGGTACAGCAAGCACAAAAATCCTTACCATAACCTGATGCATGCCGCTGATGTCACACAAACTGTGCATTACCTCCTCTATAAGACGGGAGTAGCGGTAAGTAAAAGACGGACGCTCACCATATCGGAGGGTGTTCCAGCTTGATTGAGGGTGAGCCTGGGGTGAAGCATTGCCTTGTGAACTCCCCATTTCCCGACATGCCCTGATCACTATGGGGAGCTTTGGGGTGTTCTGAAGTATCCTTCTCTTCATCATGGAGAGCCTTAGGGTTCTCTGAAGTTCTCCCCTGATCGCTGTAGAAAGCCTTGGGGTTCTGTGAGATGTCTTCCCTCCTCCTGAGCCCAATGAAATAGATCATGACCAAATTAAAGAACTACTAGAACTAAGTATATATCTCCACACATAGAGAGTAATCATCCTGACCTGTGGCAACCTTTAATTACCGATGCTATTTACTTATTCTGAAATTATGTGCAATAGATTTGTCAACCATAACTTCGACTGATATTTGCTTAAACTATTAGGTCTTTTCCAGAAGCATTTTAGTTATTCATATCTTATGAATTTTTAAAGCTAAGGGTCAATCTTTACTTCTACTCATTTGAAATACCATTATAATGATTCTGCCTTTCAGCTCTTTAGATGGCTTTGGATGTCTTTTCTCTAATCCATTTTATTTACTGACTTGTTCAAGTTGATTATCTGAGCCTTTGACCTCTTAAATTTTTATTGTTTGTTGTTTGTATGTATGCACATATGTACATATGTATGTATGTATGTATGTGCGTATGTATGTATGTACATACGTATGTATGTATCTATCTGTCTATCATCTCTCTCTCATGTGTAGTATGGGAGAGTTCTGTGCATGTGTCAGCAGATAATTTGTAGGAGTCACTTCTCTCCTTGCAGAGGCCAGGGGTTGAACTTAGTTTTTTTTTTTTTTTCTTTTTATCTCGTCTGTATTTACCTTTTAAAGCAGAATGTGGTTGGGCACTATTTCCATTCACAAGCCTTGCTGAGTTACAAGACCTAGGGAAGAAGCTTAGGGTTTGTTCTCAGTACTTCGAAAAACAAGCCACAAGGGGAATTCCTGTCAAGTTGTTTTTAACTTGTGTTCTTCTAAGACTAGTACATGCAGAATTAAAACTACAGGGAACGAAAATAACTGTAAGATGAAACTTAAGCCATCCTAATTTTTGTCCTTTCTATAAACATGTATTATCTCAGAACACTTAAAGTGACAAATGAACTTAGCTTTTAAGGCTCATCAGGAAATACCTTTGCCCATTGAATCATCCCATCAACCCCATTTGCCTTCTTTACCTCCATATAAGCCACTGGCTTTAATATGCATAAAAGTTGGTGGAAAAAAAAGTCAGAAATAAGTAAACAAATAAAATGGCTTTCCATGCCTTTCTCTGTTGAGATTACCTTCAGAAACCTATCAAAATTATTTACTTTCACTTCTATTTCAGTTTCTAGTGTGCTGAATGTATCTCCATGCTGTATGTTTTTGTTTCTGCATTTTTCTCTGGGTCATATTTTTCTTCTATTAGTTCCTCTCCTCTGGTTTAGGAACAGTTTGTTTCTTCTTAGTGTGGCATGGGTTAATTTGACCATGAATGTTGTATGTTTGGTATACATCTTATTGACGTGGGTATATTCAGCAACTTGGAAATCTATGTTTAACCCCGTAAGCTCACATGCACTTTTAAGTACATACAGCAAAAACTGAACACTGCTTATGGTTCAGTGACCACAAGGCCAACCCCACTGTGTGACAACATGTCAAACCCTACTGTTTGGACTTGAGCATGGCTTCCGACTTCACCAGTATGTGATTCTTAGACTATTCTATGGACTGAAAATGAGTATTTTTCTACACATCTCAAGGAATGCAATATACTATTTTAGAAAGTTGAAATAGTAAGAAAGTTTGGAAATATTAAAGTCAGTTCTTAGAAAAACAAAGCAAAGCAATTGCAGGAATGGCCCACATAGCTCCTTTAGAATGATGCCTTTCAGATGCGGGTAGCGTTTCGGATAGGCGCACACTTGGTCACCTAGGATGGTTTGGGTGTATTTTTGAAATGAAAGATTTGAACCTCTTGATTTGCATAATTTTCTGGGTCAAGAGAGTGGCAATCTATTTTCTTAGGTCTCTTCAGGCTGTTTATAGGAAACGCAAGGTAGCAATTGCATAGCCGTGGCAATGAGCCACAACCCGGTGTACATTTGTCTGTTTCTGTTGGGAGGCTTTGTCTAGTAGCTCATTGAATTAAACTTGGAATACAGTGGGAGGATCAGGCCTTGGAGCTAGACAAGCTAGATATAAATCCCTTCCTAATTATTATTAGATATTATGACCTGTGAGAAAACACTTGGATCTCTGGGCCCGGATTTCCTTTCTTTTGAAACGTGAGAAAGATTTTACCTTGAAGATGACTAGGAATAAAATATCAAAAATTTTGAGTATTTTCTTTGCCTCAACTCAGAGAGTATTAACACTATATTATTTTTTTATTAAAAGGCTCATTTTAGAAAAATACTATTTAAGAAGCCATTTCAAAATCACAGGAACATTACTGAGAGAACTTGTTTAATGTAATAAAAGAGTTTCTACCCAGGAGACCAGCCATACTAAATGCTTATTTCATGAAAACATGGAGGAAAACAAAATTCTCCACACCAAAGCAGACTCATGAAGACATGGGTTGGTGCGGAAGTGTTCATATTAAGATGTTTGATGGACTGATGCAGAAGACCTTACACTAAGAAAGACCCATGAAGACAGGCCTGACACACTCAGATGAGTACGAAACATTTTTCTACAGATGCCAGGGACTGCAGTATGCTATTTTAAAAGAATAGAGTACGAAGAAAAACTGAAAGAGTTCTCCATGTGTTGGAAATTAGTAAGTATGAAAGAAAAAAGAACGTTCTTACAGGTTAAAAAGCATAATTATTAGTAGTCTGCAGGGCAGAGCCTTTCAGAGGTCCTCTGTGTCAGGCTCCTGACTTGTTCCCTCTTTTCTTCTTCTTCTGATGCCCATCGTCTTTGCCTTTCTGGATAGGGATTGAGCATTTTAGCAAGAGTCCTCCCTCTTGATTAGTTTCTTTAGGTGTACAGATTTTAGTAGGTTTATCCTATAATATATGTCTATATGAGTGAGTATATACTGTGTGAGTCTTTCTGCTTCCGGGATAGCTCACTCAGGATGATCTTTTCCAGATCCCACCATTTACCTGCAAATTTCATGATTTCCTTGTTTTTTATTGCTGAATAATATTCAAAAGATTTGATAGAATGAGTCAGAGATAGGATACAACCAACTCTCAGGAAAGAGAGAGTACTTAAGAGCAGTGCAGGGAGAAAGAAGAAAGTTTTTTACCAAGAGTTTTTTGTTGTTGTTTATTTGTTTTGTTTTATTTTGTTTTTTAAGAAGAGAGAGATTTTACAGGTTGCAGAGAGAGAGCCAGCTAGATACAGGTGAACACAGGATGAGACAGAGAATGAGAAGTAGCCAGAAGATTAGCACATATTGCCAGGATTCATTTGAGGCCCTGTACAGCAATTCAGTGAGATACTGAGAGAAGCTAGATTGAATCAGTTAGCTTGGAAAGGAGTTTGGACCAGAAGAGCTGAGTTGAACCAGCCAAAAAATGTTCAGAACAAACTGGAAAGGTTTGTGAACAGTTTTCATCTCCTCTCCTCATCTGAGGACATAGAAACAACATTTAAAACTGTGCATTGTCTTCTTAAATGTTTATACAATTATACCCTGGCATGTAAAATAGAATATAATTTCATGTAAATAAGTTTGCAGCCTGGGAAAACTGCTCCTACCCATACAAAATAAGTTTCTGTGGTATTTTGTTATGGTAGTCCTGGAAAAGTAACACAGCAGCACAGCTAAGCTGGCCCCATTTCTGACTTCTGACTTCTTTTCTTTTTCTTTTAGTTTTATATGTATGAATGTTTCACTGCATGTATGTATTCACTCCAAGTGCATTCCTGGTACCCATGCATGCCCATTCAGAAGAGAGTTTTAGATTTCCTGGTTCCAGAATAACAAAAAAAAAAAAAAAAAAAAAAAAAAAAAAAAAAAAAAAAAAAAAAAACAACTGAACTGCCCTGTGGGTGCCAAGAACAGGACCTGTGTCCTCTGCAAAAGAAGCAAGTACTCTTGAACAGTGACCCAATGTCTCTAGTCTCCCATGCCTGACTCTTATGGCTGTGAATTTAAGTATTTGGCCATAATTTGGCAACTTCACTGGTGAAAGAGAAATCATTGTACCTCATCATCCTCGCAGACATATTCTCGAAGGTAATGTAGTGCAGACTGAAGCAGAGGCAGAGCAGTGCTTTGAGCTCATCTATTCAGCCTATTTTTAGTACATATTGTGCATAGTATCCTGCAGGATATAAGCATGAATCAAACAGCTTCATCAACTTTAAAGGAAGACGCTGAAGCATTTATGCTAGTGCAAGCTAACAGCAGCGTCAATGGTGTAACAGCCAATGGTGTGCTGTGCTCATTTATTTGCAGTGTGTGCATGCACAAATGTGTGTGTGCAGGCGCATGTAGGTGGAGGACAGAGGGCGTCAGGCGCCCTCCAGTGGGTCCCATCTACCTTGTCTTTATGATAGGATCTCTGACTGACCTAGAGCTTGGAACTAGGCCAAACTAGCTGGCCGGTGAGCTGCAGGAATCTGCCTGTCTCCACCACTCCTGCCCTGGGATTACAGCCACCACACCTGGCTTTTGGGAATGGAACCTGTGTGTTGGGAATGGAACTCTGGTCTTTGTGTGTGTATAACAAACATTTTATCTCGCCATACATATTTTCATGACCTACCACTTCTCTCTCTCTCTCTCTCTCTCTCTCTCTGTGTGTTTGTGTGTGTGTGCATTATACGTTTTTTTTTTTTTGAGAAGACATATACTTTGCACTTTATTTATTTATTTATTTATTTATATTTTTTAATTATACTTTATTTACTTTGTATCCCCCCCTCTAGTTTCCTCCCTTCTCCCCTCCCAATCCCTCCCTTCTTCCTCCTTCTCCACACACTCCCCTCCTCAAGTCCA